TTAGCAATAGCAATAGCAATGGCAGTTAGACTTATATACCGCTTCATGGGGCTTTCAGCCCTCTCTAAGCGGTTTACAGAGTCAGCATATCGCCCCCAACAACAATCCGGGTCCTCATTTTACCCACCTCGGAAGGATGGGAGGCTGAGTCAACCCTGAGCCGGTGAGATTTGAACAGCTGAACTGCAGCTAGCAGTCAGCTGAAGTGGCTGCAGTACTGCACTCTAACCACTGCGCCACCTCGGCTCTTACGAGGAGGGGATGGGGAGGGGAGGGAGTAGAAGAGCAGGGAAAAGGAAGGGGTGGAAAAGGGAGGAAAGGGAACAGAAGAAGCGGAGAGAAGGGATAAAAGTAGAGGAGAGGGGTGGGGAGAGGAGAAAGAGGAAGAGAACAGAGAATAAAATAGGATGGGATGGTACAAGGAGGGGATGGGGAGGGGAGGGAGTAGAAGGGCAGGGAAAAGGAAGGGGTGAAAAAGGAAGGGGAACAGAAGAAGGGGAGAGAAGGGATAAAAGTAGAGGGGAGGGGAGGGGAGAAAGAGGAAGAGAACAGAGAATAAAAGAGGATGGGATGGTACAAGGAGGGGATGGGGAGGGGAGGGAGTAGAAGGGCAGGGAAAAGGAAGGGGAGGAAAAGGGAGGAAAGGAAACAGAAGAAGAGGAGAGAAGGAATAAAAGTAGAGGGGAGGGGAGGAGGGGAGAGAGGAAAAGAAAAGAGAAAAGAGAAGGGAGGGAAGGGTAGGGTAGGGGAAAGAAAGAGGAGAGGAGGAAAGAAGAGAAGAGGACACGGCAATATTGTGACAGCTTTCTCTTTTTTCAGGCTCCATCCAAGAACAGGTATTAGAGAGCCAGTGGGGGGTTTTCTTTAGTGCTGAGACGTGGGTGGGGAAAATTGCATAGACAGGTGTACATCTTCAAGTAACTGGATCTTGTACTCAAAGCCCAGAATTCCCAAATAGGATTGTGCATAGATCCAAAGAGCAGTTTTCTTTGTGGAAGCATCAATTAAGGCGACCTGCTTCCACAAAGTAGACACACACCCGGCTAAGGAGGATCCACTTCGGGAGCTTATTAAACCTTTTCCTTCTAGTTCCTTCACACAGTTTATCTTTCTAAAGCTTAATAGGAACAACCCCGAAGCTGTCTGTTCTCGGTGCTTTCCACAACTCTCATTAATTTCAATACAGAGATTCCTGAAACCTCCACAGATCTTTGCCCAATACAATTAAGAGGACAATGGAACATTTAGACTGCTTAAATGACTGTGTAATAGAGGAATATAATTCCCCTTCATGTTTACCTGATCCTCTAGCTTCATTCAATGTGAGCAGAGAAAGGATATGGTTGCAAGGGCACTGCTACATGGAAAAAAGCTATTTGTCTACTCATTATTTCTGCCTTAGAAATTGAAGGGTGTCACAACAGCAATGGAGGCTGCAGCCATAGATGCAACATGCTGGAAACCAGTTATCTGTGTGAATGCCCTCGAGGTCTTGTTTTGTCAGAGGATAACCACACCTGCCAAGGTACAAAGGGAAAGGGGGATGTGGCTAGTCTAGAGTAATTTGTTCATTTGTTTATTTGATAAATGTATATCCTGCTTTTGCTTCGGGAGGTGAAGGCCACGGCTATCTTCTGGTGAGCTTCCAGGGTTGAGGTGGCTCCTGAACCTAAAGTTCTGTAGTAATTATCTCTGTGCCCCGTCCTATCAGCATGGGAATCAGAGGTGGTATTCAGCAGGTTCTGACCAGTTCTGGAGAACCGGTAGCAGAAATTTTGAGTAGTTCAGAGAACCGGGAAATACCACCTCTGGCTGGCCGCGCCCCCATCTATTCTCTGCTTCCTGAGTCCCAGCTGATCAGGAGGAAATGGGGATTTTGCAGTAACCTTCCCCTGCCATGCCCACTAAGCCATGTCCACCACCAACCACACCATGCCCATCAAGCCACGCCCACATAACCAGAGGAAAACAATTTGAATCCCACTACTGATGGAAATGCATTTTAAAAAGGCTGAATCAGAACACAAATTTAATCTGCAGGTCATCCCCATTATATTTTACCAGCCAGCCCAGAACTTGTAACCTGGTCCCTGCAGAGAGTTTTGATTTGAGTTCCCATCGGTCTTAGACAGTGTGGTCATCAGATAAAGACGATGGGAAGCAACAACCTAAGAGATTCGGCATGCAATGGCTTGAATGGCTTCCTAAGAATTGTAGAAATGGTTGTGCGGCACACATTTAGAGAGCATTGAAGAAGACTTAAAGGCGATGGATCTATGGACAGCAATAATGTCATATTTTACCACCACCATTTCTATAGGGGTGGTTAATATTAAAGGGCTGGATGCTGCTTTTTATGGAGGCTATGAGTTGTGTATCCACACATATGCACCCAGTTTGATCGTGGCAAGAGGACCTGCTAAGCATTGCTCCACTTTCTGACATACGTGGACTGTAATAAAGTAGTAAGCCTTCTCAGAAGCAGCTTCCATTTTATGGAACATCTCCCCCTCCGCCACAAGTTCCCTATTTTTCAAAAAATAAGACCTCCCCTGATAATAAGCCCAATCGGGCTTTTGAGTGGATGCACTAAAATAAGCCCTCCCCCAAAATATTACAACACAGCAGCAGCCATCAGGTGACAACGCTCGCCGCCTCCTGCACCTCAAAAATAATAAGACCTCCCCAAAAATTAAGCCAAGTGCTTCTTTGGAGGGTCAAAAGAAAATAAGACCCTGTCTTATTTTCTGGGAAACACGGTACATGCAGCCTCTATCTTTCTGGCTTTTCATAAATTAGTGAACAAATTTATCCCAGGGGTACCTTTGGTCCAGCAGTCAAGGGACTATGGGCGTCCCTCCATTAAAAAGGAAGGATATTTAATTGTACAGAGAGCTGCCCTCTTTATTTCTTTTTATCCTTGTACTCCCTCCTACAGATGTCTCTCCAGGGAGTGACCTATTCTAATATGGCTTTTAATTCCAGGAGTTAGTATATGGTTTTTCTGGCCAGGAGTCTACTTGGGGCATGAGAGTAGATAGGGGGAGAAAAAAAGAGGGAGAGGGAAGAAAGAGAGAGGGGGGGAGAGGGGGAGAAGGAGAGAGGGAGAGAGAGAAGGAGAGAATTAGAGGGAGAGAGAAGGAGCGAGGGAGAGAGACAGAGAAGGAGAGAGAGAAAGAGCGAAGAAGAAAGGGAGAGAGACAGAGAAGGAGAGAGAGAAGGAACAAAGGAGAGAGAAAGAGAGAGAAGGAAAGGGGAAGAGAGAAGAAGAGAGTGAGAAGGAGAGAGGGAGAGAGACAGAGAAGGAGAGAGACAGAGAAGGAGCGAAGGAGAGAGAAAGAGAGGGAAGGAAAGGGGGAGAGAGAAGGAGAGAGAGAAGGAGAGAGTGGGAGAGACAAAGAAGGAAAGAGAGAGGAGAGAGAGAAGGAGATGGGGGAAAGAGAAGGAGAGAGAGGAGGAGCAAGGGAGAGAGAAAGATAGGGAAGGAGAGGGGGAGAGAGAAGGAGAGAGAGAGAGAAGGAGAGAGTGGGAGAGACAAAGAAGAAAAGAGAGGAGGGAGGGAGGGAGAAAAAAGGAGAGAGGGAGAGAGACAGAAGGGGAGAGGGAGAGAGAAGAAGAGAGGGAGAGAGACAGAGAAGGAGAGAGAGGGGAGAGAGGG